ACTAAGGAAGAGTCAGCGAAGCGTTGCCAGCAATGGTGGGAAAGCGAGCTCCAGGCTGCCATCAGTCTACAGCTAGCTGCCACCAGCTGTCCCCAGGGGTGATGTCAGAGCATATGGGGCTCCCCGCAGCTTCCAGAAGCAGGACCTTGCATCTCCACCCAAACTCAATCTGGACCACTACCAGGGTTCTGAAAGTGTAACTACTGATTGTGCCTGGCCTTGGTCAGTTGATCGCCTTCTGCCCCATTAACTTCTCTGCTATCCTCAGGAGAGTTTTGCAGCTGACATGCACAGTACTAGTTTATTTTTACAGACATTCCTAAATAGGTAAGATCTTGCCAGAATAGGATATGTGTGGTCCTGTGGTCAGAGTCTTTCATTTGACCTGTCAGAACAGAATGCTTGTGTACTCCTGTCACACACACAAAAAAATTTAAGCCGATATATCTCTTCTTTCCAAATTTTCTCTTACATATCATTATCTGCTATAGTATAAGCCTTAATTAATTGCCTCCCTCCTTAATTTGCCCCTTGATCTCTAATTGATCTTTCTACATTATCCTCCTTGTGTAATTACATTTGTATTAGGCTTAAATCAGAGTGTAATGGATTGAAGCCAGATTGGACTAAATAGATTTTCCCATTCTTAATCACAGAAATAATCGTAACTTCAGAATGGATAAATAAATAAATAAATCAGTGTAATTGGGGTACAGGAGAAAGGCTATCCTGGCACACCCATAAAGCATAAGGCATCTCCCAGATTTTCTGCACAGATTTTTGGGCCGTCATGTTTCTTCATGCCTGCACACAGATGCACCCAGCCTAAGCCTGGGGAGGGACGCCAACTTGCACTACAGAATTTTCACAGTATCTACAGGGACCACGATTTTCAACACTACTACGTACAGAGTAAGAATGGTAAGATGATGCCAGTATTCAGAGAAAGGAATGGACAAAGCCACTGAAGAGTGGACATAGCCCACATTCAGGAAGCAGTTCAGTTGCTTCACTGTTGCCTTTTAGTTTTCAGATTTTAGTCCTATACCAACTACATTAATTTTTCTTCTTTAAACTGGGTGGCAATACAGACTGTGATTACATGGAGTTAAATTCCTAGCAAATGTGACTTGCTTGGGTGCTCTTCATTATTTTTTTGAGATGACACCATTAAAAAAAAGTTTTAAGTACACAGACTGCATTTCGAGATACACTGTGTGACTTAGAAACAAGCAAGTCACCGAGAGCACAGGGAACTTAACTTTAAACTCCCTTTTCCTCCTGTAGAACAGGAAGGTGCTTCAGAAACAAACATTGTCACTTCAGGGAATGTCATTTTGGGTACTGATAGTAACTGCAGCAGAACAGCATATAATCAAACCAGTTTCGGGACAAGCAAGAACTCCGTATCACCTATCTTCAGACATTGCTGTTGGGTGCCTGCAAGTAGGACATGGGTACTCCTGAGTTCCCCTTATAGAGTCAACGAAGATGCAGCTACCTCCAGTCAGTTAACATTTAAGTTTTGTAAAGCAAGTTACCCAAATATACTCCCATTTCATACATAATGCTATTCTCACACGTTATCACTGGCCTACAAGAGAAATGCTGCTATTAAATGCATTTAGGCACTCTGCAAATACCTACAGGGCTGCTTTACTTCTACATACACTGGAGTGATGTAGCAGGGCATCTAGAATATTACCTGCTAAAAACAAGCAGCAGGCTCCCAGAATGAAAAACTCCGGTAACACAGTCAGGGTAGAATGTGCTGGGAAGTACTATCACCTCCTTGACTATGGATCTGCTCCTTGCATGATTCCCTATCCCCAGTACCTGCCATCCCCTTTGCCTCAACACTGCCCTTACCCTTAAACTGCTTGTTCTTTCCTTGAGAAATCTTCCGAGCAGCCACCTGCCTTAGGAAGTTTCCCGGGTACAAGCAGCTTCTCAGCAAGGCTCCAGAGTCCAGCATCCCACATGTCCATGCTGAATGGTCTGGATGGCATTCCTCAAGATTAAACAAACCCAGGGCTGCACTGCCTCAGACAGCAATTGCCATAACTAATGTTTCTCACATAATTAGCTGGTTAGATCAGAAAAAAAGAAATTATCTTTCATATGCCTTCATTCAAACAAACAGTTGGATCTTAACAGTATCTTTCACATGCCTTCATTCAAACGTAAACAGTTGGATCTTAACAGCTAACCCAGTTTGCGTTGCCTGGGTCTGCTGCTACGCAGGAAACATTTCCTCTCCCCCTTAGAGAGACATCTGTCCTTTTTAATTCTTTCCCCAGTAACAGTTTTCTCAAGACATGTTTTTATTTAAGAAGGTTATTCTCTATCCTAAGACTGAATATTGCACAACTTAAAAGTAGAAGAAACAGGGAAGTGAGATTTGAAACTGTTTCTCCAAAATCTGAAAGTTCGTCGAGATGACAATCCTGTCTTTAAAACATGTTTACATTTGCTGCTGCCTTCGGAGCTTTCCTGTTTGAAGATGTGAATTTCTACCAGGACACACTATTCTGAAGGTCTGAGCAGTTCATCCTGAATGGTACTGGAAGTGGAGAGGAAGGCTGAGCTGTGAGCATGATGCTGGGTCCACTTCAGGATAAATCCATCACCTGCTGGAAGGCTGCACTGTCTGAGAATTCTACTTCAAAAATCACAATTACTGTAATAAGGAAATAGGAAACATTTCTGTTATTCTCTACAAAGGAGGTAGAGGTGGTACAGGAAAATGGACTTTCAGGGAAGGGAGTTTCAAAATCAGAGCCTCATGAAAACCACACAAGGACTGCAGTCACTGTCAGCTTGTTGGTAGGAGGGGAAAACCTGCACATGCAGTTTAGTGTAGAGGATTAAAGGGAAGGGACACCTCTGTAATAGAGTATGATATTGGTTAGATGTCTGGAAAAGTGAGGAAAAGCCCTGAGCAGAATTAGAAACAAAATGCCTACAATTAAACACACCCCCAAACTTCAGTCACTCTATAGATTAATTAGGCAAAACTTATTTGAGAAAGAATTGTTTTTCTAGTTTCTGACATTAAAGGAAAACTCTGCATGTTATGCTTGAAGTCCAATATAAATTACTGTAGATAAACTACATTCAAAAATCTTACCTGAACAACATTGCCTAATATGTAATAAACAGAAATCACTACTGAAATCATGTTGCAGATATGCATGATGTTCAGAGGGATTAAAAAAGAACGTTGTATTCTCAACACACACTTAAAACAGCACACAAAAATAACTCAGTCATTGGTGCTCCCTGCTGTATACCAGTGTCAAGAGAAAGTACCAGACTTTCTCACAATATTCAATTTTCTCTTTCTCTTTATAAAATGAATAGAAGTCCATAGGAATCTCCATCAGTCTCCTTTTCTTGCACTGCAGGCACACAATTAATTGCTAGAAATTCTTAAGATGACCATTACAGTTTTACTTTACAGAAAGTTATATCAATACTAATCCTTTACATCTAACTCAATATACGGCACACTTACCATTACAGCCTTGGGAGTTTACAAAATCCTTTTCCCCATCTCACATTTTTCCAGAATCCATTAAAAGTTAGAGCCTCCAGCTAAAGGTTTTTTAAGGAATTAGATGAGGATTAGTCTATAGCAAGTCACAGATAGAGAGCAATCTTAGAGACATTTTCAGTCCAATTTATCCTAAAAGTGATCTGCATTTGCAGGGAGAGGAGTCTGTACTACAGAGCTCAGCAGCTGTCATCTGCTAAGTGCACAACTTTTGCTCTGCAGAAGAAATGACTTCACATTTTCAGTAAACCTCTAAAGGGTTTTGGGCTATGTTAGAGAAGCAAGATTATTTTTATGTATCAAGGAGAGTAACTTCTTTTTCAGAGTCTGTTTTTCAACAATTCTGCTTTCAAAAAAAGTTAAATTAACACTTCAGACTACATAGGTTGCAGTCATTCCAGAAATTAACTCAGAAAACCTTAGACATGTATGAGGTCATGTGCATGTACAGAATGATTTCTAGGGGAGTCAGACTGATATGTCACAGGTTCCTTTGACTGTTCTCTACAAATATAATCATCAGCTTTCCTTGCAGACGTCATACTGACTAGAAAGCATCAGATAAGCAAAAAGTAGTTCATTTTAGACATCTGAGTTTCTGACAAGCTCCCAGTATTTAAAGCTCTGCAGGTTTTAAACTGTCAGAACTTTTAACTTACAGAACATAAGACAAAACATGTTTAAAGACAGCTTAGAATAAATATACCTCTTTATATAAAAAGCCAGGAGGAAAAATATACTGACTGCATGACAGATGTGCAAATCATTCCTTGACTTTCTTTGGGGTGCTTGGCTAGACAATGTCATGATGTTCCTTCCAACCTCTGTGATTCTGTGATTTTAAGAAATACAGAAACATTATCCAAATTACACGTGGAGACCCAAACAGCAGAAAATTCAAATGATTTGTCCAAAGTAATACCAGAAATTTCTTTGGCAGAACAAGAAACTAACTGATCCTGAGTTTTCCCAGGTCTCACATCCCAACTACTGGACCATTCCTTCTCTGCCATATACTATAAGAACAGGTAGCAACCATATAAACTGAAACTTTGGAAAAGACAAGTGCACAAGCTTTGACCAAAATCATCAGAAGACCAGGAATAGCCTCCAAAATTCATACTGCAGTTGCTTGCACATGGTGAAATAAACACATATGCAACATGCCCATGTTTTGATATGTATTTTTATTTCCCTGCAGTTTTCACTTATCAAGAACAAGTAACAGGGAAAGTTGTCTGAACTAGTGCATAAACAAACATTCTGAAACACCACTACACGTATCTAATTTACAAGAACCGTATAAAAAAAGTCACTAAACACTACACTACAAAGGTGTCCAACGCTTACAGTCAGACTTTTTCCAACCCGTTACTTGCCTTGTAGCCACAGGAAAACTCTCCAAAATTGAAAAGACAATCTTGCCACAACCCTCCCTCCCCCCCACCACCTGGGATGGCTCGATATCTAGACATCCAATAATTAATTATTGCAATGATATATAATGCAATACATACCTGGTAAAATATCCTTTATGTGGTGTGTTACAGTTTTAAAGCCGGTTAAAATATGCAGTCTTCAGATAAAATGTAATCAGTTGAAAATTTTCTCGTATCTGCACAATTTTATATGTGCAAGATGCATAATTTTCCTAGTCAGTTTTTTTCCTGTGTAATTATTTTTTATAAACTGGTATTATAAATAGAAATATACATTCAAAATATATGGAAAAGTGAGTTACTACATTAAATTTGCATGTATCGATCCATCCCTTTCCCCTGCACAGTAATAGAAAATACTATTTTGCCTTGAACTTCATATTTGACAGTGAAATGCCACTAAAGTATTTACCAAAAAGTCCATCTAGTCAAATTGTGAAACAAAATGAACCAAGTGAAAACTTTACATTTTCTTTAGAAAAAAATTACAAGAATTTTGTTTCCTAGCTATGAATCTTTAACTTTTCTTTTTTAGACACAAAGTTGGATTTATTTGTACAAGATACAAAATGTAAACATGGCAAAATAAATAGTTAAAACAAGTGATGCAGGATCCCATTTCATGCTCATGATCCCATTAAAGAATTATTTTTTAATCCATTCAGTTGCAAATTCAAGTGCAAAAGCATGATGATGAATATCTACTATTCAAGTAACAGAAATAATATTGATGATACAAATAAACTATTTTACAAGGTAGTGATTTTCCCAATTTTACAAAATTTACATTATATATCGACTTAATATACGATATACTGATAGTCCATTTAGGTCCATTTTAGTTCTCTGTGATCCACAGAGCGCTGTGTTTTGCATTCAGTTGGAATATAAACAACTACACCATGAGCCCAGGCTCTAACACTGGTTTGAGGTTATGTCACTTCCATGGCTACTGTTGTCTCTGCTATGCCATTTAAACCCAGTCGTTCTGGTTCATGGTTCTCTCTGCAATAAAAGAAATATTTAATAGTTACAGGTAGAACACAAGAGTTTCCTTATGCAAGTTTTATTAATCTCTTACAGGTGCGATCTGTTTTTACACTTGGATCAGGGAGAAACCTTAACACATAATCTAGGAACAGATCATTTTAAATAAATACTGGCATGTAAGAACTATACTAACTTTTACTCCACTAACAGTGCAGTCCCTCTACAAGATTATTGTATTTAACTGAATTACCATCCTAAATTATGCATAGGAGTACTAAAAAGTCTCCTGAAGGAGCAAACTCAAGATACACCATGATGACTCCATACCAATTATTCTGTTAGTGAGCAAAGCATTGTTCTGAAATAAATTTCCTCCCCACACACTAAATTCTGCTAAACTCTGCTTCAGTACTAGTGCAAGAAATCTTAAATGTTTTTGCAATTTATTATCATTCTCTGTAGAGAAGCTTAAAAATTATTTGGCTACGGTGGTAATTTTCATGACATTTGCTGACATGAATTAAAATACCCCTCTGACTTGAGGAAATAAAACCTAAATGCATTAATGATAAACAAGTATGCTTTAAGGCACAACTGTTAATTTAAAAATACCTTTATCTCTATTTATACAGCGACTAAATTGTACCTTCAATTTTGCATCTCAAAAAGGTCTTTTTAATCTCTCCAGAAGCATTATGAAGTAGTAAACCACATTCACTAATACCTGGTTTTCTCTTTTCTCATTCATAAACAAATGTGACTTTTTGAAAAAACCCATCATACAATCCAGCAGAGACTGAACACAAAGCCCCGACTTTGTAGTTTTCAGAAAACTTAAGCCAACTGCAGGCTCCTGCCACTTCTGTGAAATATCTTCTAAGTGTTCTGAAATAGTAGTGCTTCTGTTCAATGAGAATAAGTATCTATCTATATACGTAAGATGCAGGCTGGCACATACCTGGTTTAGTCTTTACATAAATATGTAATGCATATACCCACATGTATATAGAAAGTAGGTACGTGTCAGCTGCATCTTACAATATGGATACACAGTTACGGAGAGAACATGTGGAGAGTTTAATAGACACTACCTGAAAGCACTGCATGAAAGGGACAAACGGAAATGGTAAAAAGGAAGCCATTTTAAACACAATGGAAGTTTACCAAAACTACTGGTGACTAAAATCAGTGCAAATTATTTGAGTGTTAATCTGCAAAACTGTCTCTTATGGTTTGTCACAGCTACATGGCAAGATACCAGCAGCTGTATGTTTTTGAGGTTGAAGCTATACTGAGAATTCTCTCAGAGGTATAAACAATTCCATCTGGTGCTGTAGTGCAAAGGCACCCTTGGAGACATTTACACAGAAATGTAACTTAAAACTGCTCCAGTCTGCCACACACTTACCTTGCTATACTGCTGATGGCACTGCTAGGAGTTACCTTTGGCACTCTGTCCATACTGGCAGCAACTGTGGCAAGTTTTAAGGCTGTTGGCGATGGTGCTGAAGTCCTTGTATTGATATGCACGTTGACTGGAGAAACAACACTGACATTGTTGAGGTGCACTGCATTTGTCAGGCAAGAATTGTTCATGGGAAGCGTTTGAGGGTTGCTTGTGCACAATGCTGGAATTAAGTGGTTTGTGGTGGTGTGGCCAACTGTCCTTACAAGCTGTACAGTTGAAATCCCTGGGCTAGATGATAAAGCCATGTTGGTGGAGTACAAAGTCCTAGAGGTTCCTGTTACAAAACAAATGGTGTTAATTAAAAATGTGCCATTCCACACTGGAATTGTGCAAGAATCTGGTTTTTGAAGATTCACAAAATGTAAAACTTCAGAAATATTTAATTATAAATATTTTTATTTCCCCCCACATGCACAAGAACATCAGCAAGAGAAAGAAGTCACTGTATTACAAAGAACTTTTATATTGCCCGACTTTGTACACCTCATTTTAGGAATCTTAAAGGGGCAACGTTCCCCATAAAAGTAAAGCGAATGGGGAATACCTTAGCTACGCAACCTCAGAGACCAACAGTGAAGCCAAATTCTGATGCTTTGAATCACCTCCTACCTTGTCCTGCTGGCAACATGAAAAGGTTCAGAAGGGACCAGTCTCTCTTAAATCAGCAAAACTAGGGGTCTAAGACTAGGCAAAGTAAAAAGCTCCTTTCAGATTAATGCTGCAGTGCTCTGTTTGCACTCCTGAGCTGTGAGAAACCTCAAGTTTCACAGCATATATTCAAACCAGAGGTTCTCAAATTTCACCTTGCTATCCTAGCTAGTCACAATTCTGATTTCATCACACGGAACTACATACATTTTGCCTAGATCCTCATTCCTGAAAAAGAAAAATCTTCTTTCAGCTAACATTTCCTAATTTACAAGTCTTCCTATCCTTAAATAGGAATAGCTACTTTACATCGTTGTTATTTACAGCTTTAGAACAGTAACAGAAATCTACTTTCATATGCAAAATATTTGCAATGGTTTTCAACAATCATAAAGCTGTGTACCTTGTATCTGCATGGTACATTACCACATGCCCCTTCTTACACCCCTCAAAATACTATCCTCTCAGGTATGATCTTAGAGAATTATACATAGATGTCTGTCTTTCCTGGAAATGTTCCAGTATATTGATTTTATTCAGTTGTGTTTTTTCTCCCTCTATTAATTTCATATTATCATTAACCCAGCCTGACAGAAGGTCTGTAAAACTAATCACATCATTAGCTGTTAAAACAACAAATTATTCTAAAAGCCTTTTACTTTTTATGGCAGTCAAACGCCAAATAACATTTGTGTCTCAGCAACATGGCTATGGCAGCAGCATGACTGGCATTAGTGTCTTCTGGTAATGGAGGTTCAGAAGAAGGAGGAGGAGGCAGTGAACACCAGCATCTACACTTCTGCCTGAACTTGGGAGGAATCCTAAGTGCAATGAAACCTGAAACTTAGTAATTTTGAGAGAGCTGCCAGTAGTAGCTGATTAGTATGTTTAGTCTGAATACACAAGTAAGATAGTGATCAAATAAAGTAGCAACTTTTCTATTTCCTTCTCAAAGTAATATTTTAAGCATTTTTTTTAATTACACATTCATAGGTTAAGACGCTGTCATACTTTTGATCATAACAGATTATTAAAAGATAAACTACAAAAGAAAACAGAAACAATGCTCTTCCAATGTAAAAGAGCATTTGGTAGTCTTATTACCACACTAACCTACATGCCACTGCACAACAGTATATAAAAGTCAATTAAGACAATTAATATAGTTATTCTGGTTTTTAAACACTGTATTAGAAATCAGAAATAAGATCACTTGACACATTCTCGTCTCACACTAGACCACAAGTTTTAAGAAATCATCACCTGAAGGCTGGACAACACCATTAATATTGTTGTGGCTGGTGTTTTGTTCCTTCGTTACCTCACTGCGACTAGGAGCAGGTGCACTAACCACTGCAGATGCAGCAAAGTGGGCACTGGCTGAATCAAGTGTTTTTGACATACAGTCAGTGGTGCTGGAGCCCTGTGGGAATTAAAAAAATATATTTCATTAAAAGTATCCAAGAATAAAATTAAACGCTCCATTAGGATTGCTATAGTGCACAATTAGCAGCTAATAAATAAATAAATCTTCTAAATGTAACCTAGTGTGATCTAAATGTAACCCTCTATTAGTCCGGTTTCTCTAAAAGAATGGTAAGTACTGGAACGACACCCTGCAACGGCTGAATGTATCATTCTGCAATTTGCATTTCTATTAACTGTGAAAATGACTTTGCATAGACAGAGTGTCTTAAAAATCCAAAATTCATTCCTTTTGTTTAAATATTCTGGTATAGTGTCTTTACACTTACAAAAAATGTAATGAGTAACCGCCAATTCAGAATCCCCAGTTAATCAAAGTAGAAAACACTGGGGGGAAGGGACAAACAGCACTGGCAATTAAATACAATATGCTCAAATAAGCTTTCCTATTAATAGACAAGATCAAAAGCTTTTATATTTTCTAAGCAAGAAACTAACAGAAAACTAAGTTTGGCAGAAAGAGATATCTTCTTCCCTTGCAAGGCACTACAGAAGAAAAAACGTGATTCTTTTAGAAGACAGAAGTAGTAACACTGGGAGTGGGGAGGGGAAAGGAATCCAACTAAATAAGCAAAACTCCATTTTTCCTCTCAAAAACTACCAATTTTTAGTACTCACTTAACATCTCTTTGTAACAGAATACACTACCTCATGAAGTAGCTTTAATAAAGAAGTCTCTTTGGAGCACTTACAGAAAGGAGGACTAAATTAGGGAAAACAGTATGACTTGACTGTAGAAATAGCATTGGCTATTTCTACATGGACTGACTGTGGACGCAACTAACACATTAAAATCTGAAGTCCCTTGCTCAACTTCTAACAATGCTGCCACCATACATAACTTTAAAAAAACCCAACATGTTTTGATGGTGAAATGTAAAATATTATCTCACTCCAAATAGAAAAGTGAAACCTACAACATAAGCTGCCTTCTGGGCACTATACAGCAAACTGGAAAAGCATCTTGACTAAAAGCCTTTCATTCCAAAATTTACTGAGGTGGTATACTTAGCTTATAAGAGAGATGAAAAAGACACTCAGCAAAAAGGAAGATATTAGCATGTGACAACATTCAAGGTGCATTACCTGTGCTTTTGGATGTGTCTGTTGTGAGGAATGCTGAGATTGCTGTTTCTGCTGAAGCTGAGCAAGTTGTTGCCTCTGCATTTGAACTAACTGCTGTTGATGTGTCTGAAATTGTTCCTCTGTGATACCCCCTGTTACTACAGAAAAGAAAGTGAAGTCAGTGTTAAACAGGCCTGCACAAACCAAACGTATCTAAAATGCGAGACTGCACAAACCAAATATATCTAAAATGTTGGGTAACAAGTGCTTGAAGATAACACACACTGTGTTAGATGCTTGAAAGATCTTCAGATATTCTTATGTAAAGAAGAAGCCAAGCTAAATTTGTTTGTTGGGTTCTTTTAGTATTGAATCAATTTGTAACAAATGAATTCATAGCTTTCATTGCTTTTAAGCAGTTTCTGTCTTTGGTGGTTTTCTCCCCATTTGCTTTGGACAAAATCTTAAAGAAATTATTATCCTGGCTTTCAGAAAACAAACGTCCTAGAAACCTTAGCTAAAGAAGTAGTACACTGGGTGAGCTAGGAGTTTATTCCTGTACAATTCCCCTTCCCACAGTCTTTTATTATTGTCCGGTTATTGTCCTCTATAAAGGAACCATACGCCTGGCATTGGGGAACACCTGCTTCAACAGCACAACCAGATTTATACATTTAAATAGTCTGTATACATTTCCATACCAACCCTCTCGAGAGGGCTACAAGCAGTATATACAGTAACAAAGCTAACCTCCAGGTCTAAACTTTAGTAAATGTTTGGAAATACCAAAGCTCTGTTTGTTTAGCAAATCCAGGTTGACCTTCCTATTTCACACTTTTGCCTCCTGAAGGAAGTGCTTAAGTATTACCTGAACAGGATTTTCTCTTTTTTTTTAAATATGGAGTAAGAGTTTAAGAGTGACCTAATAAGCTTGTTTACTTACAAAAACAAGGTTAATGCAACCCCAGCAGCACCATACTTGCAACAAGTGAAAGGAATGGTTAAGCCAGAAAAGCTCTTCTCAGTATTCTCTCCCCGAAGAATTGCACAGTTGATAAACTGTAAATACTGCCAAGTGTTTCATGACAAAACCCTGAGTTTTGTGCAGTTGATGCTAACCTAAGTTCTCCTAGGAGGAAGTAAAAATAGAACTCACTTTAACTACATTTCACCAGTTTACTCTGAATGAGATTTTACAAAGACTGAACTGTCATTCATCTCAAACACCTGGATTTTGCAGGAATATCATCTTATCAAGAGATATTGAGCTAACACTAAAATACAAAGAGTATTTTACAATACAATCTCTTTCAGGGTCTGTCTCTTTCATTTACTAGTTGTAATACTCATGGGTTGTCCTGAAATTCCATTCTGAATAAATACCAAAATTAAGATTATGGCTGTTTAGGAACTAGTACTACAATTTCTTCTATACTTCTACATTATTAAAACAGGTTTCAGCCACATTAGGAGGGCACTTAAGAATCTAATGACTTTGTCATGGTTTAACCCCAGCTGGCTTGACTTACACAGTTCCTATTAGATTCTAGGGATACTGTTATTTCCAACGTATTCTAAAATCAAGTTTATCTCATAGTTATATTTATTTTGTTCCTCTTAAAGATTCTTACCTATTACTACAAGCATTTAACTCCAAGTGCAGTCAGCTAAAACTGCTAAGTTCCCTCACAACAGTCTCCCAAAATGTGTTGTGTTATTAAAGGCAACGGAGCCAAGAACAGCATTATGGAACATTACATATATATACACATATATATATACACACACACATATATATATGCACACATACAAAACAAAACAAAAACAAAAACAAGAATTCTATTTTTAAGTTCCGAGGTAACAAATTCCAGAAGATGTCTTTTGTTTTATAAAAAGAAGTAAGTTTTAGAACAAGCTTACACGGCACAAAGAAATATCTAAATTGCATTTAGCCATAAGTAACTATTATTTATCTGCAATAGAATCATAGACTTATACAGGGGTATTCATCTAGATTCAAAGCTGCATTCTTCCATGGACTGTAAAGACAATATAAAAAGCAGTCTCTACATCAGAAGATCATCCAATTTAGCCTATGTATCAATTCTGTATTTTCAATCTCCCTTCTTTCTCCATTTGACACAGACCACAAACTCATGAAACACCATTACAAGGTGCAGGGAAGATTACTGTAATGTAATTATCTATTACTCTGCTTGTACATGTTTAAATTCCACTCAGTTCAGTACCTATCACCAGGTATTTATTCGGTGGTCAGGCTAAACTCAGCTGTTAGCCTTGTTAAACAGCAGATGTTCATTAGGACATTTAGTATCATTTGCTTCTGCCAAATCAAACAACTGAAGGGTCCTACAGGAAAAAGAACAGAAAGCTTCTACGATGTCCCAAAGTAGCCTTTAAGGTCACAGTTAGGCACAAGTTCTACACTTCTTACAGAAGGTTCTGTTCACTAGAATTTTAGCTTCCACTGTTCAATATAGGGATTTTCTATTTTACCATAGCCTGACTTTATTGAAATGCTAAACCAGAACAGGATTAAAAAAAAAACAAAACAAAACAAAAACAAAAACAAGAAAAAAACCACACACAAAAAAACCAACACCCCAAAACAAAACAAACAAAACCACAACAAAAAAACAAAACAACAACAGAAATCCCCTAAACACCAAGGTGAAATCAAGTCTCACAGGCTCCTCTCCTTGACAGCTTTGGTTCGTAATATTATGTCATGTCTTAGAATCTGAAGGCTTTAAACAAAGATCATCTTTCAGGCTGTCCCAGAAGGAGTATTTCATTAATTACTTCTACATGATATGTAATTCTGGGAAAAATAACCTCTAAAAGGCAAAAGGTTGTTCCACAAGCAGAATTCTTCAACTAAGAGCGTCATCATCTACAGTTGTCTTTTGTAGCCAGGGACATGGTAACTGAACAGGTAACTATTTCAGCAGATCACGGGAACTGGCAGCTGAAGCAGACTGGAAACCAAATGCAACGTAATGACTAGACTGAAATTTGCTGAAGATTTTGCCTGAAGTCTACTTCTTACTTCAGTCCCAAAAATCAGCCGAGTTGCACTACAGGAATTCAGCAGGCAGGTTAAGTATTACTCAGCTCTCGTGAGTAGTACCTTCTAGAAATTCCTGGTAACCTCCTTCCTTCATCTCTTCTGATGATCAGTTGTATCCCTAGCTCATCAGCTCATCTCATTTTAGATTCAACAGAAAATTCATCTGGAGGTGTCTCTGGCAAAGAGATGAGTTTACTTTTCCAGATAGGGTGTGTAAGATTAAAAAAAAGTTTACACAACTGATCAGAGGGATCCAACTGTTTCAGGGACCTTGTCTCTTACAGGTTCCTCAAATTCAGTTTTCCCACTTGCAGTTATTATAACATGAGCAAGAGTATAATTTACCTTGAAGCAGTGGTTCTTTATTCATGCACTGATTAAGCACTTTCAAGAAAAGACTAGTCACACGTTTTTAAAATTAGTCTTTCTTTCTGTTTGTACAATGTCCAGCATTTGAGGAAATAATAGAGTAAGAGTTGCTTTATTAATAGAAGTGAAAAATACAAATCAGAGGTAACTTGAAATACTCTTGTGCACCAAAAACTAAAGCAAGCAACTCCAAGTCTTCTCTAAACTAAAAGAAAAAACAAAAACAATCAGTACCACTACTGTCATTGTTTCCTCTAGAGGCAGCTTTATGCTATAAAGTCAACTGATTTCAACAATCATCTTGCAAACAGAATTACATTAATAAACGCAGTGATAGTACCTGTGGCTCATTTAATGTACAATCAGACTTGGACCAGCCCTTTTAAGATTTACTATTTACTAACCAAAAAAAAAAAAAAATATCTAACAGCAGTGCCTCTTGCTGTCTCAGTTATTTGGTGAAGAACTCTGCTGTCTACTGCATCTCACCCTTTACCAGAATTACAGGATCTGTTTTGTCATTTGAGTCTGGAAACAAAAAGATCTTCCATAACCATTTATTTCCCTGTGTTACATACTTCAACTACTGAGTTCTCTGTTCTCATTTAAATGTATTCAGATGATTTCTAGAATGATGTAGCAGAAGTTAATTACTATTCCTTCACAAAGGGGCTTAGATCTGTCAGACTTGTTTTGATGGGTTTTTTGGTTGTCTTTTTTTAGATATTTCTCTATAGTTTCTCCCATCATTAAAATGCATTTTTCTCTATCTAAAAAAAAAGTGCAAAACCCTGAGGCACAAGAGTGCTAGTCCACACGTGTATGTCAAGTCTGTCATTAATTTGCCAAGTAGCACCAACAATTTAGGTTTAATTCTTGTCGATGGCATTACCTGAATCAGGAAGGGCTGACTTTTTTCTTATGTATACCCAGTTCCCTGGCAAAACACAGGCCACCCTTTCCCTGAAGACACTGCTTACATGCTGTTCTCATTTTTGTTTTCTTATGATGTGCCATCCTTCCTACAGCTACTGAATTCTCTTCTGCTGCTGCAATCTTCATTTACACTAAACCCAGGTATGAATATTAAAAAAAAAAAAAAAAAAAAAAAAAAAAAAAAATCTCTTCAACCTTTTTCCTCACTCATTTCTTCACATACTATTAAAATCAGATATATTCAGCTTCCATCCCAAAATATTCTCCAAGTTTAAGGCAGACTCCACCCCCAGCAAAAAACAGAAGTCTCACTGGAGCAGTTTAACACCTGGCTAATCCATAAGTAACTGACATGCTAATTATGAAAAATTCTACAGAAAAAAATAATCAACTTCACCTGTACCTTTTTAGCTTTCCTTACCTTGGTGTCATCACAATTTTTTCATGCAAATGGAAATCTTACTTGCTCTTGTTATATAAAGAGCTACCAGCAAATTCTTCATCATTCCTTACAGTTTATAGTCCATGTTTCACATCCTTAACTCTGACAAATAGCATTCCTTTCTATTCTTTGCATTTGCATTAACAAGAAATCTCTTGATGCTTATCAACAATCCCATCACACAAAACTGCCCCTTCTGCTACAGGTGCAAATGTCCAGACCTTCAAGTTCCTTACAGAAAAAAAAAAATATACAAAACATGACCACAGCACATTATATCTGTTCTCTTCATACAGCAGAAAAATACTCTTGTGCAGATCTTTTCATGAGAGAGAGAACAATATAAATGTTACAGTGACTGTACTGAGAGATGAATTATAAAAGTATTAAGCACCGAGTATTTACTCCACTCTATGTCAGTACTACACTGCTGTTACTTAATAAGCTAATGCTCAGTCTTTTAAAACGGTAACATAGAGAAAACTGCTTTTGTCTTCAGAAAATTTAACTTCAACATACGAATTGTAAAAGGTATGCTATTGAAGAGTAAATACCCGATCCTGTAACTGACTTTAAAAGAGACAAACCATTCCACATCCATATAAAGTTAATTATGGGATTCATAATCAGCCTATTATATTACCTAATTATCCTGTTTTACAATACCTAGTTCTGTATACACACAATAGAGTAGGAAAATACTCAAATGCTTGTTATACTTGGTAGTAGACTTCTTGGCTTATCTCCAATTCTTCAGCCTTTTAAAGAACTGTACATTCTTTTACAATTACAAAGAAGTGACAACATTAAAACTTAAGCAATTACAGCTTGTAGTACACGAAGCAAATGATGTTAAAACCGCTAATATAAGCTTAAAGCAATTTTTCCTTTTGGTGGCTTTTATTCCAAATTTAGAGCTTCTATACCCAAAATTGCTAACAAAGATAAGAAGTACTGTATATATTTTATATTCTTGTGAAGATACCGCAAGACACTTCTTTTTTAAACCTAACAGTGTTTAGACGTGAACAACTGTCTTGATCATCTGAAGCTACTGAGTCATAAAGCTGAACAGTAAGAGATGGTTGCACTGGCTATGAGAATTAAGAGATGACATTTAAAGGAAAAGGGAATCTCCTATCACACTTAAACAGTGGCTGATGATTTTCTGAAAAATCAACAGAGAAGGTGCATGACTGGATGCTTCCAGTGTCAAAATTTTTACTATGACAGATACCAACAAAAAGAGCCATTTTCAGACTTTTTCGTGCCTGCTCGGTAGATGCTTACCAACTTACTACTGGTCTTCAGAGATGTTCTGGCAGAGTCAAATAGCAAAACTGACAAGGAAGCACACTGCTTTTCTTTTTCATTTAGAAGGAGCATTATTTTCTCCTTGAACAAGGTTAGACCAATTAAAGTCTTTAAGAATCAATCACACTTAAGCAATTCGTAAATATAAGCAGAATCCTTCCTTTGAATAATGCATGTTTAAGTCTAGCACTTTATCAGGATTCTGATGAAGCTAACAAAAGCTTGAGGAAGAGAACTGTTTGTGGGAAGTTTCTGCGTATCCTAAGAAATACAAAATAATTACCTTGTGTCTTTGGTTTAGGTACACATCACTCCTGAAGATACTATCAGACCAGTCAAAGTGAAAACACTGGAATTCAGTATTTTAAGTCCCAGAAGAATTCAAATCCTTGCCTACCTGATATGCCATTCTTGCTGGTGTTCAATAAAGCTACAGATGCTGCAGAGACTCTTTTATTATTCACAGTCTGCCCTGGTTTCCTTGAGGTACATTCTTCGCTATCGCTGTCCTGTAGATTTAGTAGCCTTGGCTGAAAACACTGCAGTCGACATGATCTGATATTGCTCAGTATTTCAGAAAGGGACAGTCTGTTTTCACAACGTTTATTGGAAGCATTGGTCCGTGAAAAGTTAGAAGAAAAGTCTAAAGTCTGGGAAGAGCTTGAGAAACTGTTCAGCATTTCCGGGTCAATCTGTCTCAAGACAGGATCGTGCTCTGTGGATATCCGGTCCATTATAACTCTGATTAAAGAGGACGAAAAAAAGACGTTAGTTTAACTATCTCTAATGTTTTTGTCCTCTGAAGGGGAATGAAGAGTACAAATACTGTAACTGTACCTTCCACCCCTGCCAATTCGTCTCCTTGCAAATCCTATACATCTTCTTGGAATTGTAAGGGTTGTAAGGCAATGCCTGAACCTCAGTTTGTCCAATTCTGCCAATTCTGAGTTTTCATATGAAGAATTAGTTTGGTCCAAACGAGGCTGTAAAGAAAAAGAAAATATTGCATCATTTAGAGTGATGAGATCACTACCAAGTGGTATCATGCACAGGCTACAGTATAGAAACTACAGAACTACCACAGAACTACCAATAACAATTAATATGCTAAGATCATAAAAAAAACTTGGAAGATTTTAAAAAAATAAAATATGTAAACTTATGAAGCAGAAAGTCCTCTTTCCTTGATTACTGTATGCACAGCTCCAGGGCTAAGTATCACACTATAGAAGAATACTTTTAGTACTTATTGTGACAGAAAATATCAAGCAGACCTGCTCATTTATCAAAGACCCTGCTGAATCACCAGCTGTACAACGCAAAGCAACAACAATTCCCAACTCAGACAGCTTGCAACCTAAGTGCGTAGGTAACTTCAAAAGGGGTTCCTGAATTTGCAGTTTAGTTTTAGTCATAAAACACACACTGGAAAGGGGAACAGACATTGATCTGAATGGCCTTGGTTCCAATACGTAACACTGAATTACTTGATCCTGACAGTGTATTTTCTGTATCAGCTTACCTTAGGACATTTTTATTACTCCATTAAAATATCTTCGTTATTACTGTGAACTCAAAACTCTGTAATCTTTACAAGCAGAAATGTTGTGTGCTGTCTGAAACATCTTCTATGACAGGTTAATAAATATTCATTAACAGTCTTTGTGATCAGGTTAAACCTACAGCAACAGTAGTGCTGTAGATTCAATCAATTTATGTGAAGAGTTAACCAAAATTCAGATGGCTTCAGTAGCTAAAAACATCCAAAACTAAAAGAATAACATTAAGGCTGTTAAATATCCTCCTTCTAAACAGCAATGGAAAAATAACAGAAAAGAATGAAAATACAAGTTTTCAGTTGTCTCAACTTCTTTTGCAAAGGAGTTAACTCACAGGAGTTAACTAATTAAAAAAAAAAAGGGGCGGGGGAAAGGATAAATTCTAAGCAAGCTTCAGGTAACACTCTGGAGCTAAGCAGAAAAGGTTACTAGATTAGCTATCAGCAGGTGAAAAAAAGAAATCCACCCAAACTGAAAGAACAAGGAAGTTAAGAGGCCACACAGAAAAAAAATGGGAGGCAAACAGGCAAGTATTATCTTAAATAGCCCTCTAATCTCTAAAAGAGGAGGAGGAGTTAAAAATAATCACATATTCTTGGAAGGATCAAGTTGTAGTCACTTCCAGAATACCAGAGACAACATACCAGGACACTGCAAAAGAGGCACAGTTGGAGGTGCCAGCACACATCTGACCTGCGCAAAGAACATCCAGGACAACTTGTGCAAGATGCCCATGCTATAATTTGGGTATTCTGGGGGATATCTGGGCTTCTGAAACAGCCCATCCAGTGACTAAGTCACTTCTCTGGCTTTAAAGGTTACACAATAAATGGCAAGTTTGTCATGTAATTTCGTTCTTCCCATGGGATGCAAGCAAAGAAAAGCCAGACCCATTATAGCATTCTGTTGCCTTTCTTGGTCCTCTGCAGCCTAAAGCTCCCCATCTGTAAGCACATGCTTGGTAAAAAAAAAAAAAAACAAACAACCCCTTCATAAAAACCGCAGGCTCCGCTGCTCCAGCAGGAAGGTTGGACTAGACCTCCAGTGGTCCCTTCTAACCTTGACCATTCTGTGACTCTGTACCGAGATGACGACAGGACATCTAAAATTAGTCTCTGTCCTCTGCACATTCTTGCAATTGCAACCTAATGTTTTTCAATATATCTACAATTGGCACCAATTTCAAAACAAAATTTTGACTTAACTATGTGAAAAAAAAATGGATTAAATGGATTAAAGCCTTCTGCCTCAACAGCAGACACTCAATTCCATAAGAGGACTTTTCAGCAGGCCTGAGTACTGGGACAACTAGTACCTAACTCTAACAAGCCCTACAAACTGGGAAGGGCGGGCATGCTAAGAAAGCTGAGGGGGACAAAAGAAATATCTCCCTTCTTAACAGTGGGTGAAGGCCTCTGTTAAGATAATATCCCTTCAGATAATCACAGAGGAACAGTACAATAAAAATAATCCGCGTGAAGACTGAAAAAGATTGTCTTTGGATTCACCTAACAATCAAAGCTTTGGTGGTGAATGTGGGAACAGAAGAACTATTACATTAGTGCTGTGCCAATCTAAATTTTAAAAACCCAAAACAAACCAAACACCAAAAACCCCCCACCAACAAACAAAATATCATCCCCCACCGCCAACCCAACAAAAACAACCACAATAATCCCACAGCAGTCTTACAGCATAATACTGGCATCCTGCTCTTCTCCTGAAAGCACAAGGTCCATCAGGATCATTTTCTTCTTCCGTTTCTGATACTGGTGAGGGTACCTAAACCAGAAAACAAAGTCATTCTTCTCACTGCTGTATTCATGTTTGGGTTTATTTATAAAATTTTACAGAATCATACTTAGGGTTGGAAAGGACCTTA